ACTACAGAGCTTTTGATGAATTATATCCTTAGACAATACTTTATTTGGTAAATCAAAATTATTATCAATAGTATGGAAGCTAATAAAGATGCCGATTAAGGGAGTGAAATTATTATCATGTTATTACACTTTTACAGTCAGTTTGAGTTCAAAACTTCAAATATTTTTTTTGCATTTTGTATTTGTTGCACATATGGTTGGTTGTTTTATAACTATGACTATTGAGAGACAGTTCAGAGGAGTAACTTATTTTGTATAGTGTTCAATATTTTGAAACACCATTGCGAGATATTTACTAAATAAGAAATATTATTATTTGTGCATGAGCAACATTGCTTCTTTTTTAGTATTTTCTCCTTATATTTGTTTGCCTTGGGTATTTGTACTTAATCACATTTTTATCCTTTGACTGAAGCAATTTTTGCCAGAAGAGAATTATTTGATCACTAAATATTGTGTTTTCATATGTCTAATTATAATATTAGTTATAATAATTGTTCACCAACATATATCATGCCTTTCGTTTTTTTTATCTGCTGATATCTTTTTCTAACACCAACTACAAATCTTTCTGTATCTTTCAATACAAAGGCTATGACAGTATTCAGCATAGTGTCACCTCCATCTAGAGTAGGAGGTCCATAAGTTACCTTATAATTATAGATGATGTTTCCACGATGCCAACTGCTTTCATGTATATTAGGTCTAAAATTATATTTTATTTATATTAATATATATATATATATATATATATATATATATATATATATATATATATATATATATATATATATATATATATATATATATATATATATATATATATATATATATATATATATATATATATATATATATATATATATATATATATATATATATATATATATATATAAGATTTAAATTTTTTTATTCAAAAACAGTATACCGAAAAAAATCTATTATTGATATAAATATTTTTATATACGAAAATTTATTATTCATTCAGATCTTTTTGTAAAAGATATCTAAAAAAAATAATATTTGTATATGGGAAAAAATTTATTATTGATCTAAATAGTTTTATATATGAAAAATGATATTTAAGATCCAAATATTTATGATTAAAAAATGGTATACGGAAAAAAAATTAATTAATAATCTAAACATTTTTATATACGAAAAAAATCTATTATTGCTATAAATATTTTTTCCTTTTTTAACCTTCTATTTAAAATAAATATATTATGTAAACAAATGTGTGTACCAGACCAGAACATGTGCGTACACGCATTTTGTGAGATTTTTTCCTTGATATGATCTAAATATTTTTATATATGAAAAATGATATTTATGATTCAAATATTCTTTATTGAAAAATGGTATACGGGGAAAAAATATATTATTGATTTTAATATTTTTATATACGAAAATTTACTATTGATGCCGATATTTTTGTAAACCATACCTAAACAAAAATAATAATTTTATACGGGAAAATTTTCTATTATTGATCTAAATATTTTTATATACGAAAAATGATATTTATGATCCAAATATTCTTTATTCAAAAATGGTATACGGAGAAAAATATATTATTGATTTTAATATTTTTATATATGAAAATTTACTATTGATGCCGATATTTTTGTAAACCATACCTAAATAAAAATAATAATTCTATACGGAAAATTTTTCTATTATTGATCTAAATATTTTTATATACGAAAAATGATATCTATGATCCAAATAGTCTTTATTCAAAAATGATATACGGGAAAAAATATATTATTGATTTTAATATTTTTATATACGAAAATTTACTATTGATGCTGATATTTTTGTAAACCATACCTAAACAAAAATAATAATTCTATACGGGAAAATTTTCTATTATTGATCTACATATTTTTATATATGAAAAATGGTATTTATGATTCAAATATTTTTTATTAAAAAATAATATATGAAATTTTTTTTGTTATTGATCTAAATATTTTTATATACGAAAATTAACTATTGATCCCAATATTATTGTAACTCATATCTAAACAAAAATAATATTTGTATACGAAAAAAAATCTATTATTGAACTAAATATTTTTATATACGAAAAATGATATTTATGATAAAAATATTTATGATCCATAATTGGCATACAAGAAAAAATCTATTATTGATCTACGTATTTTTATATACGAAAAATGATACTTATGATCCAAATATTTATGATTTAAAATTGACATACGTAAAAAAAATTATTGATCTAAGTGTTTTTATATACGAAAAAAATTTATTATTCATCTAAAATTTTCTTTTTTTAACTTTCTATTTAAAATAAATATATTATGGAAACAAATGCGTGTATGAGACCAGGCCCATGCATACGCACATGGATTCTGGTCTCGTACCCACATTTGTTTCCATAATATATTTATTTTAAATAGAAGGTTAAAAGAGAATATTTTAGATGAATAATAGATTTTTTTCGTATATAAAAACACTTAAATCAATAATAGACCCCTTTAAATTTCACTGGGAAATAACATACAGACTACACTAGGGAAGATGATATCACATTTGCTGAGAAGAAAATCTCAATGCACTAAGAATAATGTTTGCACAAATTTCACCGGAGAAGATCAAAGAGACTTTATGGGAATAATAAACTCAAAAGGGAAGCAACACCCTTGGTTTATATGATAAACTAAGAAGTCAACACTACACCAAAAAGTCAATTTTGTGAGGATTTTAAATCAAACTTGACATACAACGAGAGAAAACTTAAAAGTTGACAGTTGTCTAAACACTTCTTAGAAAAGATATTGTCCTTGTCTAGTTACTTGGGGAGCATACATAAGCAATAATTTCATAACTGGAAAGGAGTAATATCCTGTAGAAGATTCTTTATCAAGTCTCAACACGATGGGAGAAATAATCCAACAACTGAGCAAAAGCTTCACAAATTTACAATCTGCTTAATCACAATTTGGATGGGCAAAAGAATCATACTCAACGGGAGAATTTCAAATCAAGACTTAACTTGAGAACGTGGGATCACAAACCCAACACCACACAACAATCTGGAGAAAACTTATCATCCGAGTAACACTCATTGGGGAAACCGTGTGCAGAATCTGCGAGAGTAACCAAAGGAGACTCCTTGAATAGGAAAATTTCAAACTTTGGAAAACGTCTGTTCTTGGACCAACTGCTTTTATCCCTTTGCTTCACAAAATCGAAGTAAAAATATTTTGTAAATTTTCCAAAAACATGTTTTATTATTAATTTCTTTTAATTCTTTTTGTTTTGAAAATTACTATCAATAATAAATAAAATTTGTGTAAGCATAATAAAATAAGAATTGCAAAGAATTGGATAAAGGCTCAAACGTTATTAATAGAATGGAAGAGCGATGAGAATTCAAGAAGATTGTTGCTTCAAAGATCAAGTCTTGTCTAATGCAGTTACTTGCCAAGAATCCCTAACTTTTGCCTAGATTTTCCTTGCGGGGTTTCAATCTATCGGAATGATTTATCTTGTTTATGTCTCTAACTTTTTCCTATACCTCCCTTTCGGGTTTTTAGCCTACCGAGACGCTCATTTTTGCCTTAGTCGTCATTTCGGGTTTTCAACTTAGTGAGTTGTTCTTTTATTCTTTTAGGCAAAGTATTTCTTGACTGCATCAGCATTCACGGAACATGAGAACCCATCATCATCCATAGTTTCAAAAATCAGCACCGCCAGAGAAGGCTTTCTTGACAACATATGGGCCTTCATAATTGGGAGTCCACTTGCCCCTAGAATCAACATTAAAAGACATGATCTTTCTGAGCACGAGGTCGTATTCTCTTAATTCACGAGGTTTGACCTTTTTATCAAAAGTTTTCTTCATTCTTTTCTGATATAACTGACTATGATATAAAGCATTCATTCTCTTTTCTTCAATCAAATTCAACTGGTCAAACCTGTTTTGGACTTATTTTGCCTCAGACAATTTGGTTTCTATTATCACACGCAAAAAGGGAATCTCTACCTCGATGAGGAGCACTGCTTCCATGCACTATGCCAAACAAGGGATTAGACAACGCTTTTTTAGGCCTTTAACAGCGCTTAAAAGCGCTGCTAAAACCTCCGCTGCTAAAGGTATAGACAGCGCTTTTTTTTCAATCACTTTAGACAGGGCTTGATAAAAGCGTTGTCTATTACCCCCCTTTAGCAGCGCTTTTCCTCTTTCTTTTTTTAATTTTTTTTCAATCACTTTAGACAGCGCTTTTCATGAAAAGCGCTGTCTATTACCCCCCCCTTTAGCAGCGCTTTTCCTCATTTTTAAAAAAAAAATTTCAATCACTTTAGACAGCGCTTTCATGAAAAGCGCTGTCTATTACCCCCCCCCCCCCCCCCCCTTTAGCAGCGCTTTTCCTCTTTTTTTTTCAATCACTTTAGACAGCGCTTTCATGAAAAGCGCTGTCTATTACCCCCCCTTTAGACAGCGCTTTTGTATGTGATTAAAATAATATACAAAATTAAATTAACAAAAGGAAGTGACAAATAAATCTTAAATTAAATAATACATTGAATCATCATGGAATTAGAAGATTCCTTAAAGAACTAATAATACATTGCTTATTATCAAGAGTAGTACATCTACAACAATGACCAAGTATTATCAAAACAATTTTGTGCAGTAGTATTTTTGTGAGTGTTGACCTCACTTTTAGTGCTGGATTGGGGGGCTTCTCCTTTTGGTTTACTGAGCTGCCGCAAAGAATTCTTTACAGCTTCAATATCACCAGTAATTTGACCAAATAGAAAGCCAACTTCAAGGCTCAGAATTAATATTTTATTTTTGAAAGGGCAAAAAAGAATCTATAATTAACTAAGGCATCATGAATGCTTAAAAAGAATACAAACCAGAACAATATTGTTCCACCTGATAGAAAATGGAAAAAATGAAACAATAGTCTATTCAAACCGATGACAATAATTAATACAGATACAAAAACCATCTATACCAGCAGTTAGCAACCAAACACTGCAAATGTCACCTTAACCACGTACCCGCAGCTAGACAGAAAAGCATATCATCAAAAACAAAAACACATAACAGCACTCTGAATACTTTCACAATGCTGCCGAAGAGATGCCCAACGCCAAATTTACCCCGATCGATACCCCCGAAACAGAACTGCAAGCAGCCGAAGCTCAAGAACTGGATTACAGTGTAGATCCCGTAACAGACCACCGATCACCAAGCTAACTCTGCGAAGCCTACTGATACGACACTCCGGATCCAAGCATTGCAGACGAACACAATAACATTTCCACAAATGAAGAGTACCCATATCAGGCTTGTATCTACCTCAGTACAACAATCAGATGATCAAATTGGCACTCATATATATCACCTTAACCACCACTTTTTCATATTAATTTCCTCGTTGGAAAGATTTTTTAAGGAATGGCCTAAAGCATTTGAAAGGATTAACAAATGAGGCCTTTTTGAAATCATCCTACTAATTTTGAAGTGATTATTGAAAATAAAAATAGAAAACAAACATTTGAATGGTAGAATAATATAAGATATAAAAAAGTGAAGTATATTAAAATATTTATATAATAATCTAATCACATAATTGTTAACAATCAAAACATCACTCCAATTCATCACTCTACAACTCAGAATCAACTCATGTATTCAACTACTAATTTTTCCAAGCATACAAAATAAGAGAAAATCCAAGACCCTACAACTCAGAATCTCTAAACTGCTGAGAATAAGCCCAAGTCATCATAACAGAAGCATAGATAAATTTAATTTAAATAACCTCTCATATATTGTCTCGTACATACATACCGATTATTTTATTTCTTAACTGTTCTGGTTGTTGTCAATCTTTCAAACCAAAACAATAAAGAGATGAAGATATCGACATTGGTCTGATCAGTGGTTGCCTGTGGAATTTCAAAAACAATGAAGTTGCAACAAACATGCATACATATTTGAAATGATGATAACGTAAACGTTTATATTTGAGCCTTAAACTCTCACCCTGCTTAGATTTCTTCATGATATGCAGCTGCCACAGGTATAGTTTTGTTCATTCATTCATTCAGATTCAGCACCATTACTTGAAATATCGCAACGTGGTATTTTCTTGATATATGCAGCTCTAAGGGGGAGAAGAAAGAAGATAAGATTCGAACAATTGTTTATTAATATTAAAAATCCCTATTCACTACAAAAGACATACCTTATTTTTTGTGTATAATGCTCTGCGCCTCTCTTTTGCCCTGCAAATTCCACGTTTGATCCCATGGTTGTCCATGTAACCAGTTGGCCATAATTCTGCAAGCTGATAAAGACATAATTCAAAAAGGTTAAAAAGAATAAATATATCTGTTTATGGAATGCAAACAGATTAACTTAGAGATATCATAAACTACACTTTCAGTACACAGGCATACTATCAAGTAGTAAGTAGCATGAATGCTCCTTGAATAAGAGAGATGTCTGTTTGACACTTGGTGAGAAATTCCGGAAGTAAGTACTTCTTACGCCAATAAATAAATTCTTAAAATTAATTAGGAGCCATTTTTGAGTAGGCGTTAAGAAAACAAATCGAACTTAGTGAAAGCAGGTGAAGAATTCAAACAACCATGCTGTTTAAGTTTTTGTCCTCATCCAGAAAACCCCAAACAAGACAACCCATTAGAACTGCTAGACCAAATTTCAAATACGTTTTAAAAACTAGACCTACCTCGGCATATAACTTTCTGATCTATGGACCTGCATTTTCATCCAAGCCCTACAGCCATTGCAAGCATGGTTCTATTAAGTTTTATCACAAAACAGAAATTTCACAATAAGTATCTGTAACTCAACGTACATCAACAAAAATATCATAGAGATCACAAATCTTGTCCTCCAAAGCGGCGTCCATATTGACACTCCTTTTAGTTATTGTTTTTACATCAGGACCAAATTCTTGAACATCACCTGATGCTCCAACTTTCTGCTGTTGCTAAAGAAAAACACCATACATCCCAGGTTTAAAAACCAAAACATTCATTAAGCAAAATCTTTTCTGAAAAACGGTTATCAAATAATGGAAACATTAAAAGATAAAGAAAGGAAATGTGATTGGGTATCAAATTACAAGAAGCAATGGAAATAATTCATTACTCAGGTACTATGGAAACTCGAGTTGACAAGATTTAGAATCACTTATATCACCATGACATTTATTTCTTTGGGTTTAATATGGAAAGAAGGAAGAGAATACTATTCACTTAACTATTGAACCCTAAATTCCTAAATCAAACCCCAAAGCTCACAGAATCCAGAAAATCTCAACACATAAATCACCTACATTCAACTAAACACTCTAGTCACGATGCACACCAAAAAATGAATCCAGAAGCACAGGCTTTAATGATAGAAACACTTACTTGGATTGAAAAAATGAATTAGCCGTGGTGTTTCCAGTGATTTCTGGTAAACAACCGCTAGTCTTCCAAACTATCGAATAAACTTACTGACTGTTATTCAATTTCTCTGGTAACTCGCAGGATCGACTAGATTGATCCTAGGACGTGTTGGTCATTGGGGTAACTCTCATGATCGAACAGTTATTCATGGTTGGTATTTAGAGTGTTGTGTAGGTGTTTGACTTATTTCGATTTCTCTCTTAAAGATCTAAAGGTGTAATCAAAATATATGTGCGCGAAACTAAATTGCATGAATAAAAGTTAATTGTAAAGACATGTAAAACTGCATAAAAGACAAGTAAATGGCTTCGAATTATAAAAACAGTTAATGTAAAAGATGCTCTGGAATGTAAAAGATTCGAAATATGAAGAAAGCGTTTAATGCAAGAAATCTGTAAAATGACTTTAAGTAAAAAGAGGCGTTCGAAGGATAAAAACTTGAAGATAAAGACATGAAATGTATAACAGTTTCTGAAATGTAAAGTGTTTGAAATGTAAAGAAAGCATTTAAATGTAAGGCATCAATGAAAAGATTTCGAATAAAAAGACTTTAAATGAGAAAACTTGTAAATGGTATTTGGCAGAAAGATAAAGGAAAGTACTGGAAATGATAAAGGGTTTTCATTAAATCATAAACATGTGGTGCTATCATACGTACATTGCTCTTGCATTCGTTTCCCTAGCCATGTGGTAATTTGAATGTTTACTGAGTATTTTTGTACAATAGATATGACACACGAAATCCTAATGCTAAGACTTCTATTTATACTACTTCGACCATAACGGTCTTGCTATAAGATTCTGCCACGTTCAGAACATGCAGAACAATGCCTCTCTTTTGCTTCCACGTGTCTTCGAATGCTCCAGCGCATATATTTCAAATTTCGAACATCCCGCTTGCATTTGAATTTCAAATGTTTTGGCACTTCTTCGCTTCGAACGCACTTCTTAGACACAGCCTTGTTGTCATTTCGAGACTTCTTTAGATATGTTCTCATAATTGCCACTCGAAGCTCCAAGCTTTGATATGCTCATTCGAAACACTGCTTCTGCTATTTCGAAACATGACGTTTTGTTTCATTTCAATCGAAACGTCCACTTTACTTTGCTTCTAATAATATTATCAAAATCTTCAGCCAACAAAATGCCCCTTTAAAATATGTATTTCGATTTCTTTGAGAAATACTTATTTTAAACATATACACAAGATTTTGATGCGACCTTCGAATCATCGTAACATTTAATGCATTTGACTTCAGTCACGTCAATCATAACACTTTTTAGATTCCTTAACCGCCTGGAACCACTTCACAGTATGGTCCAGTTACAAAACAATGATTATCTTTAATCACGCTTACTACCAATGTTAAGTTCACGCCACCTCTTCATCAAACCAACCCATGATTTCCACGTATCACAACCTTATTCAGTGGATGCTTAAACTTCCACATTATAAAAACCATCAACTTAGTCTTTTTCTTTTCTTTCCATATTCTGAATCTTTTCTCCTTATTCTCTCACCGAAAACCCTAAGCTTTCAATATTCTTCAAAAAATGTCTTCTTCTACCTCATCCCAACTAAAAAAGGTTTCCAAGAAGAAAGGAAAGACCGCAGGAACTACAATGGAAAGTAAGGTTATCACTCACCAAGGTCAATCTGTTCTTGCTCCCCAGATGATCTCAAAGGAGAAAGAAATGCTTTATGCATCCCAGGTACTTATTCCTACCATCGCTGCTGGTAAGAGGTTAGCTTTAATGGGCCCTCTTACAGTTTTTGAAATTTTAAAAGATACCAGGAAGATTTTCCCAGTTTGCTATAACTTCAAACCCCTGTTTAATAAAATGGACGCCCCTAAGGCAATAGAATCTTCAGGCTCAAACACCGTGGAAAATCCAACTGTTCCTCCTAAGGACCCTTTTGTATTAGACTATGTAAAGAGTAATTTTAAACCGTTTCGATCTTGCCCCACCTCCGACACTGCTTATCAAAACTGGTTCAATAAGGTAGAAGCTAAGAAATCCCAGCAATAGGAAGAATTAGGTATCTACAACATGATTAAGCTGTCGAAGCCTGGTTTCACTTACAGCCACCCTTTGTTATTCGCGTCCCTCTATTTCTGGGACTGTACTTATAATACTTTCCATCTCCCTGGTGGAATGATTACCCCTACCTTCTTTGACATAGCGGCCATCACTAGGTTATCACCAGTAGGAGAAACATATATCCCTGACAACGAAGAACATTCGAGTATAATTGACTTCGAAGTCAAACTAGCAAGTTTTTCCAAGTTTATCAGTCACTACCATGCTGAAGGAGACAGTGTGTCTGATGTAGAACACATTTCTTTCCTTACCCTATGGCTGTCAAGATATGTTTTCTGCAGTAGATCCCTACAGGTAGCCAGTAGGTTTATTCCTCTTGCTAGGGATTTACACGAGAATGAAGAGTGTGCTTGAGCGAATTGCTACTAGTTGACTTTTATGAAAGCCTAAGGTCAGCTGTTTCGAGCCTAAAATCTCATACCTCCAAGAATATCCTGTTGGCTGGCCCTTTTTGGTTACTTCAGCTATGGCTAAATGCCATGTTCGAACCTTCCTTGTCAACTGCCAACACCATTGATGAACAAGACCCTGAAATAACTGATAGAATAGTCGAAGGCACTAGGCTGCGAAGATTAACTCCAAATGACGACAAAGATGACTTCAAAGTCCTATTCTCGAAGTACATCATGATATTCTCCAAGAGGCATAAGTTCGAGGAGACCATGGCGCCTTTTGCTTCAAGGGCTCATGGACCTTCATGGTTCACCATGGCTCTTTCAGAAGCTGTCAAGAGCAAGGAGATTCAAGATGTATGGAGAGCCTTTTTGCTACCCAGGCTAATCTCCTCAAGAATAAATCCTGCCAAGAATCAGATTTTCCTTTTCGCTTACCAGCCAAATTTTGTTTCGAGACAGTTTGGCTTGTGCCAACTAATTCCTGAACCCTTATTTCAAACTGAGAGTGCCATTACCTCTGGGCGAACCTTCAAGGCACGGGAAGCCAAATTACAGCAAGAACAATACCAAGGCTTTGCCCAGTTTGAGCTGATAACCTTCGAACCTACCCATCTTACAGCTAAGGGGTTTCTGGAATGGTGGACCAAGTTTTATCAAACTTATATGTTCGATACTCTTACAATTCAGCAGAAACTAATTGATGCCTTCGATGTGCAGGTACCAGCCAAGAAAGGTATGTTTACTCATGCCAAAGAGATTAAAGCTTTTCAAAATTATTTCGAAACTACTTATGATCCCACACACTTGGAATCCACTGTGCATCAAGCGGCTGAGACCTTGAAGGAAAAATTCAAACAAAAAGTTTCCAAGTTAAAACTTCCTTCAGGGTTGTCACCTGAGGATAGGTATAGGTTGGCATTCGAAATGCATCCACCTAAATTTCCTAGATTACCTACCTCAGAACTGGCTCTGGCTTGGTTTCCCCCATACCCTTGGTGGTTCACTTGCAAAGAGATGTTCAAACATCTTCAAAAGAAACCAAAGCCATCTGAGACTGTGACATGGGCTCGACACTGGCTCCACGATTTCCCAGGACACCTTCGTTACGACCTTTCTGCCATGTCGATTAAATCTGATCAAGGCACAGGTGCGAATGCTTGGGAAAATCCCAAACGTTTTTCATTTTCCATATCTTTAACCTTTGCTTTAATTGTTTCGATTTTCAGCCATCAGGATAAAGACAGCTGCCTTAAAGTCGAAAGAAGGGAGTGCCTCTCAAGCCTCTATCGAAACCACTGACAATGTGACTCCATCCGAAACAACAACCATTGCTGCAACAACAACAACAACAATACCAACAACAACCAGAGTTCCAACTCCACAGGTAATCATTTAGCCTTGATGTTTCGAATTCACTAATGTTTCATGATTTGCATCTAACTCTTTGTTTAAATCTTTTCAGACCAACAAACTTCCTCCTACTACTCCAAAGAAGCGAAAATCAAACACCACTGGGGAAGACCCCAAGGCTGGAGGAAACTTACCAACTGCTTCGGAGAAGAAGCAGAAGAAGGATATTTCGAAAAGTACCGTACCAACTAGTGTCTCTGGACTCGATTCCATGGATGCTGCTCCCTCACCCAAATCCAAAATTCCATCTTCGACCTCCAACGTAATGTTGGAACGCATAGCTAGCAACCTCTCTTCCGAGAGTCCACAGGTAAATTGAACTTTAAATCTTTTTGAAAATAGTAATTTCTCATTACCTTGGTGCATGCTTTTAATATTCTTTCGCCCCTTGTAGAATATCCTAAATCCAGCTTCTACCACTTCGACCTCACCATCAAAAGCTGCTGCTCCACTCAACTCCTCTCCTCAAGGAGATTCCAGCAACCTTGTACAGAACAAAGGTTCCTCC